CACGATCATGTCATCCATAAGACTTCGAGCATGTCCCCTATTTATCCTCGGAAGACTTTGTTCATCATCCTTTGGTAGGTAGCGCATGCATTCTTCAGGCCGAAAGGGCATTACGTTGTTGTAATAGTTGTCCGATTCGGTCATGAAGGTCGTGTACCTCTTGTCGCTTTTTGCCATGGGTATCTGGTTGTAGCCCTAATAGCCGTCCATGAAAGATAGCAATTTAAAACCGACAGAATTATCAATTAGTTTATCTATGTTGGGGAGGGGATATACGTCTTTAGGGCAGGCCCTATTAAGATCGGTATAGTTAATACACAATCGCCATTTTCCATTATTCTTTTTAACGAGTACAACATTGGACAGCTAAGTAGTGTATTTGGCCTCCGATATAAATTTTGCCTCTAAAAGGTCTTTTACAGCCTGTTCGACAACCACTGTTTTCTCCGGAGAGTGTCGTCGTCTACGTTGGGCAACTGCTCTGACGGCGGGGTCGATGGTGAGGTGCTGACAAGCCACATCGGGGTCTAACCTGGGCATCTCTACGGCACTCCATGCAAACAGGTATGCATTCTCTTGGAGACATGCTCTCAGTTGTTTCCTCGCTAGCTCGGGAGACCGGCTCCAATCTTTACTCCTCGCTTAGGATCGTCACCGAGTGGGGCAAGCTCGAATTCTCCATCTAGGATGAGGCGCATCGGATGGGCGGCTTCGCTGCTATTGGAGGGGCGCTCGAGGATGACTGGATATCTTTCCCATTTGCCCTCTGAGTCTTCTGGTTTTCTTCGGAGAAGCGGTTGTCGAGGTCGATGGAATCGACGCGAGGAAGCAAATTTGCCTTGTCGGAGCTGCTGGGCAAGGGAGACTAGGCAGGAGTCTTCGGTCAGGCGGCAATGGCATTCAATCCCTTAGACGTTGCTTCAAAGCATCTCCTCGCGGCTTCTATGTCCCTGTGTAGAGTTGCGACGAGGCCTTTAAAGGTGTAATATTTCATCTTCAAGTGTACTATTAAAGGTACGGCCACCTGCACGGCCAGAGTTGGTCATTCAAAGATGCACTGGTATAGTGACGGACAGTCTATAACTAGGAATTATACCTTGATTGATATGGTCGTTTCAGCGGATCCGAAGGTTACGATCAACTCAACGTAACCCCAAGGCTTTGTCACTGATCCATTAAAACCCTGTAGGTCAGAGCCCACGTAAGGAGTCAAATGTGACTCGTCCAGCTGGAGTGTGGAAAACAGTTGAGAGTACATAATATCAACGAGACTGCCTTGGTCGACGAGGATTCGCCGAACGTCAAAATTTGTCATCTGAGCCCTTACGAACAGAGGGATGCTGGCGTTGAGGGCTTTGTCGAGGAGCTCCTCGCGGTAGAAGTAGATAGGGACAGACTCTCCCCGGACCCTGTCGAGGGTGGAGTTCTGGTTCGAGTTGTTGCTGATGAGGTGCTCAAATTTCCTTTTGACGGACCCCAACGTTACTTTGTTGAAACCTCCTCCGGAGATGAACATGGCGGAGGGAAACGTCTCCCACGAGCTATGCGCTGCAAAATATGGAGGGGCGTTGAGCCCCTCGAGGATGCAAAAATCTTCAGGTCGTGAGATGCTCATGGAGACCTGGAGGTTGGCTTCCTCAGAGGAAGGCACTTCTTCTTCGACCTTTTAGGACTCTTGGGCGTCTGGCCGAGGAGCTTCCTTTCTCTTGGCGAACTGCTTTAGATGCCCGTCCCTGATGAGTTTTTCGATGGCATCCTTCAGGTGGATGCAGTCTTCAGTCGTATGGTCATGGCTCCTGTGAAACCAGCAGTATTTGGACTTATCAGTGTTGGGTTTGGACGGTATCTGCTTTGGGAACCGAACTTCTGCCTGCCGAAATTCTGAGTTGGTGCACTCAATGAGAATCTTTTCCCTTGAAACTATCAGAGGAATGTATTTATGGAACCGGCCGAAGGGTCCCTTGTTGTCCCGGGGCTCGCGGAGACGGTCTTCTCGTCTTTTATCTCCTCAACGGGATGTTGAGGGCTCGTTGAACCTGGATGGACGAGCGTTCTCCCTGTGCTTGGAATCACAGGCAAAGTTGGCAGCCTCTTTTTCCTCGTACTGAATTTACGCTTGAGCCTTGAGAAGGAAGGCGTCTAGCGTTGCTGGGGGCCAGATGCTAACAACTTTAGCGAATTCGGTGCGTGGACGGAGCCCGCGTTTGAGCAGAAACTTTTTCATGTCATCGGTGGTAGAAACCTGGACGGCCTCCTTGTTGAATCTTTCAATGTAGGCTCGTAGGGGTTCATCCCTCCCTTGAATGATGGCATCAAGGGAGGCTTTGGTCTTCGGATGACGGCGAGAGGTCGTGAAGTGTCTGGAGAAGAGTCTCCCCAGTTGCCTCCATGAGGTGATGGAGTCGTCAGGAAGCCCATTATATCAGGTCATGGCGCCCTGAACGTCGCGATAGTCGAGCAACGCATTGATGTTTTTGATGTGCTCGTCGGGGTCATTTGTTCTGTCGTATGTGCCTAGAGAGGGAGGGTTCTCTAGTCCTTTTTGGGAGGCGCATGGCCATAATCTCTTGGGACAACGGATCACGAGGCTCGTCGTCGCTGCTGCTGGTCCAAGACGGGGAGCAGGCGTCCCGTCTGTAGGTAGGATGGTGGTCTCGTCAGGGAGACAGGGTTCGTGCTCGGCCCTTGGATCTGGGCGGAGGTGAACGTTAAGATTCTGCTTAGTGGCCTCTTCTGGTCCTCTTGGGTTGTGGGGAATGCTGGTCCCGAGGAGAAATCTGGTCGCGTTTGCGGATGGTCAGGGTCTCTGGCTCTAGAGGCGTATGATTGTTCCTCTCGCGTCGGGGAGGGGGACTTCGTCATTGCTGACGTTCTTTCCTCGGCAAGGGGGGGGATCTTGGACGACTGGACTCTTCCAATGATCCAATCCTCGCATTCTGGTTGAGGATTAGGAGGTTGGTTTTGTTGAGAACCTCAAAGAGGGTTGTCATGGCCGGGTCGGCGTTAGGCGGAACTGGAACTGACAGGTGTTATGAGACAAGGGGGACCTCGTCGTGATCTGTTCGAGCAGGGGACAGGGAAGCAGTGGCTTCGTCCCTTTGTCGGAGGACGTCGCCGCCACGAGAGGTGGTGGCCTCATCAGCATCAGTCTTTCTGACGGGGAGAAGAGCAGAGTTACGAGCATCAAGATTGTTGTCACGGGTAGCCATGATCAGAAATTTGAAGAGTTGTTTTGTTCTTGTGTTCTACGAAGAGAGAAAAGACGGGGATAGCAAGTCTCCCACAGACGGCACACTGATCTTACCGGTTGATCAAAACCTGATATGGGTCAAAGACAAGCCTCGTGGATGCTGGGTGTGAAAGAAGGGGAGGGGGTGTACCTGCAAAGCACTTTGATGCTAAAGTAAGAAAACGAGTAAGAGAGAGAGAGAGAGAGAGAGAGAGAGAGAGAGAGAGAGAGAGAGAGAACAAGTACAGAATATGAGTGTTTCATGGTGAATATTTTGATATTTGGCCCTCTCAAGTGAGAGAGTTTATATAATGCCCCAAGCGCTTGGCCATTGGTCCGTATTTTCGAGGCGAGATAATTGTTTCCCAAAGAATAGGTAATTGTCAGAACTAGTTGTTGGGACGGGCAAACGTGCCCATAACTAGCCGTTGGCACGGGCATAAGCATAGTTACGAGCACAAACGTTTTAGTTGTTTCTAGATGATGAAACCATGCGTGACAGACAAAGACTGACGAGAAGGAGTGTTGTGGTCAAGGGTAAATTGGTCAGACTCCCTCGTTGGAGGGACAGAAAGGTAAATTTTTCCCCAAAGTGGTTAGACTTAGGCAATTGGATCATTCAACAAGTAGATGTGCATTTGGTCATGCCTAACCATTGGACCAGTCCGGAACACTCTATTTATAGATTTAGATTAACTTGTACCTCAAACCAAAGCTAATTCTATAAAAGCTCAAAAATATCTAATCTAATCTTTCTAAATCAAATCTAATTTTTTTAAAATAGTAAATTACATATTTAATTTAGAGCCTCAAAATGGACTCATCGTTTCACTATCATTTTACATGCCATCTTTGCATAAAATGTCACCACAAATTTTGATTCATAGGAATCAACCGCCGAACATTAATGGGAATTTTGGGGAGACAACACATAAAAACAAAGAACCTACAAAGACATTAAAGATTCTAATCACCAATGAAAGTAATTTCTCTATTTCTAAAGATGAAGATAAATCAACATGGCAGCCGAATAGGAAGGTCACATTGAAGTGATTGAATCTCTTCCATATCCTTTCATATAATTGTTCTCAAAGTACTTCTATTGTGGCTCTTCTGGTACTCACCATCCCAGCTCTTCACCAACAAGCTGAGAATATGTTGACACTCCTCTCATAACACAAGAGCAACATGTGAAGAGCTATGTGATTCCCGTTGAACATTGTCTTTCATTACCTATGTGATTTCAGTCGCGACAAACATGTTGATCCTTTTGCAGTAGAGATTTATGATGAACCAAGACCCATAAAAAGAGAATATAAATTTTGAAAGATGGGCTAAGTGATGAACAAAAATCCATAACAAGAAAATATAATCTTGAAGGACGGGCTAAGTGAGAAACCACATTCTCTCTTCCATATAATAGTTTCTGAATATGTATGTCTGCTACATTTTAAATATAGTTTTTTCTAAACTATCGCAAAAGTTTGGTAGAACCCTCCTAACTGGTTTAGGAATCAATTTGGACCAAGAACTGCAATTACATGGCACCGTCAATAACCTGTGTTGAATTACTCTTTTTTACATTATTTGAAACATACGAGTAAAACCATATGATTTGGAGAGAATAAAACTGATCAAAGTGAATTATGAATTTATACACATTGAGGAATTTTCTCAGAACAATTGAGTTTATGATTGTATTGATATCAAAGCTAAACTAAGCCAGAGTACAAACGTTTATCGCATACAGACATATATAATAAAATCAACATCAATGCCAGTCAGCTATACCTCCAAGTGTGGTAGATCCCACTCCCTCCCATACTTCACTGACCCCCAAGGCCTCATTATCAACACCTTCCATGTCATAGTCCCACCAGCCACGGCCATTTGCATCTGTTCATCAAAAATATAAATAGTAATGTCAATGCAAAATTTCAAACGCACACTCTAACAAAATATATTTATGCATGTAAAGCTTACAGTGATTGTATGGTTTTTCCTTTTTGCCATCGAAGTCATTTTTCATCTGCTTTCTTGGCTTCAACTTTGATTCACCTCCAAGAACTACCACATGCTTTCGAACAGTTTGGTTCTCATTTACACCTATTAATATATAGAACAAAGAGAATCCATAGAAGAAGCGCAAAATAATAATCCAGAGTTCAATTAAAAACCTTTTAGTCGTATTTAAGTTAGTAGTTTTTAAAGAGCTGCAAGCAGAGAAAGGTAGTATCTATCTGTTATCTTATTACCTCCATTTCTGTCCATCCAATGTCAAACCTCATTATCAGATGACTTCATGGATATGTTTTCATGAATTATATATATCACATTCATATCAACTATTCAATATCAGTATATTTATCCGAGTGAAACCTAGCATCATGTAATAGTTATGCTCAAAATCGTATCTGCACCACAGCCCAAGAAACAAGTTTGCATCCTATACCATAGTTTTTGGTGTCTTAACTCTTAACCTTAACTGAAATTTATAATGTTATGATCTGCATATTCTATTGGTTTGACCATAAGTTGTCTATCTTGATAAGTTATTGAGTAACGAGACTAATCTAGGTACAGAAAAAGAAAAAAAAAAGGAGGTGTTTTTAGCATTAGACAACTCCATCTCAACTTCTCTATCAGTCTTATGCAGCTGCCATGTCCCTGTACCCAGTATATACAACTCTCTTGTCTTCCTCTGAATAATGTATAGTTGATCAATATATTTAGTCGAAAAGAGCAAGGTAGTCAAGCACGGGACCTTAAGTAGGATCGGACGGCTTGTGAAAGATCGTAAAACTAGGATCGTAACACGGCACTTAAGATCTTACTGAAGGGAAAAATGGTAATTTGACATACATATACACACACAACAACATGAAAATTATAATACAAGAACAAAATAACCTATACATCACTAAATTCAACCAATTAAATTAATAACCCATAACTATCACTCCATAATTTAACAAGTTCAAAAGACTTTGTTCAAAAAAGTAGTTCAAAAATATAAATCTAACAAACAAGTCTAATCATCTAAGATATTATGTATTCCCATATCATGATAGTCATATAAAAGGCAACTTCAGCACGTAAGATCGTAAGATCTTAAGACCCAGCACTCGATCTTAACCACAAAATGCACGAAAAAAGCTTTTTCTAAGATCGTAGCACTAAAAGGCAACTTCAGCACGTAAGACCGTAAGATCTTAAGACCCAGCACTCGATCTTAACTACACTGGAAAAGAGGGTTGCCAACCCACTATAAAATCGAACAATAAAACCTTAACAGCAGTGCAAGACTCGAACTTGCTACCAAACTCAATATGAAACTGAACAAACTCAAAAGTCTGAAATAATGGCGTACAGTGAAGTTCCCCAAAGAAGCATATGACAATGAATGACAAAGTATGAAATCAGAGACAAGGTTCCTAGTTTATCTTCCAAAATGGACTTAATATGGTTGTCAGGTATAAAATCTTTTCCATGGTCATTCCAAGTAAAATAGACTGAAACAATATCTTTCTATGACATACAACAACAAAAACAACCAAATATTATCCCACTAAATAGGATCGGCTACAACAACATAAACTTATGTCATAATAGACCGTGTATCTCTCCAAACCATTAATCTCTAGATCTTCCTTAATAATTCTCTTAAAGTTTTTCTATGTCTTCTTCTATCTCTAACTCTTTGACTCTTCTCAATTTGATCTATTTTCCTTACCACATAGTCTAAAGGTTTTTTCTCTACAAGCACACACCATCTAAGTCTATTTTTCCCCATCTTTTCTACTATGTGCTACCCCAACACTCTCTAATACTATCATTTATAATCTTATCATGTCTAGTCTTACTACACATCCAACGAAACATCCTCATTTTCGCTATACTGACTTTATTCTTGTGTTGAATTTTAATCATCCAACATTTTTTCTTGTACAACATCACAGGTCTAACTGCAGCCCGATAAAATTTTCTCTCAACTTTAACGGTACACTTGTGTCACATAAAACCCCTGAAGCCCTCCTCCATTCCAGTCACCCCGCATGAATTCGATGAACTTACTGTAGGTCTTTCTATGATATCAATAAATTAAACAAAGAAAAAGTTTCAACTTTCCCATAAGAATAATAAATAATAGTTTCAAAACTAAATGGTCTCATGCTCAAATTCATTAGGATAGGAATCCAAACCTTCAAATAGATTTTTCCTTTTCCTAGATTCTTGACGATCATTTGCTACTGAATTTTCTAACTCATCAACATCTAATGGAAGAACAAAGTCGCATTTTCCCTCTTTTTCAGTATGCTTAAACATTCCCAAAATCAACTTCTCATCAGCAGTTGCACACTTTCTCTCTTCATCAGTTTGTTTGACACTTCCAACTTGCTCACTCGACGGTATTCTCAAACCCAAAGGTGATTGAAAAGGCGTCAATTTCCCCTATTAAAAAAATTAGAAATTAACAAATCAGCACACTTCAACATCTACCATATACATTAAATCAGCCCAAAACCCTAAGAGTAGTATTTGATCCAGACTTTTAAAAATGGTATAAAATTACCGGAACTTTTTGAGGGACTGTTGAAGAGCTATGCAGTTTACGATCGAGGAAGTGAGAAAGCGATAAACGAGAAAACTCGCTCTTACGCGAAGCTTGATTTCTCGAAGTTGCTTCGGAATCATGAGAGCTGGATTCAGCGAGAGTGAGAAAGTCATGAAAAAATTGAAGTTGAGGAATGGAATGGGATAGAGATGACTTACGGATTTGAAGGGAGAGAACGGAATGTTGAAGTGATGGATCGTTGTCCGAAAACCCTAATCGGTGTGGGTTTTTTAGGTTTTGACTTTGAGTTCATTGTGCTGAAAGGGAAATTGAGATGAATTTTGAGGGAATTTCAATTTGTAGGTGTGAGTAAGTGAGACACGAGAGAAAAGGAAATTCAAAATTCGCGCCAAAATATGGACTTTTTTTTAAGGAATACTACTACTATTAAATTATTACATTGTAAACACTACAATCATGGAATGTTAGGGGTAAGTGGATCCAAAGTAAATTAATATAATGTTTGAAAAAAACAATGTAATCTGATCAATCAAATTAAATCCTTTAGTTTGATTCGATTTTATTTTTTAAAACACTAAAAATCAAACCAAGACAAACCAATAAAAATAAGATGTTTTTTAAAATAATCAACATTTTTAAATAATATTCTAAAATAATCAATATTTTAAATAATTTATCAAACTCACTTTATTTCAAAAAAAAATAACAAATGACAATTAAGACGGAAAATCTAACAATTGCCATTGATTTTTATTGATAGTTATTGCAAATGAAATAACCATTAAAAATTGATATCGTTAAAATTTGAGATACAAAAATTATTAGAAAGAGTCGATGATAACTTTGAAATACAAAATTTTTAATATTACTTTCTGATATCACTTTTGCTTCATCACTTTTGTTTTCCGTATTTTTCCATTTTTGTAATTATTAACCTTGTTTCATTACACAAACTTTAAAATTGTTCAATATATCTCAATAACATTAGTAGTATTCTATCTTTTATTCTTAACTTGTGATTTGAAAATTTAGAAGAAATAATTGTGCTTAAAAAATTCAAGAGTGTACACATCATGCCCATGTCAACATTTGAGTTCTCGTAATTCAGGCAATCAAAATCAAATATTTTTTTTTCATTTATTAAATTTAACGTATAATCATTGATTGAGTCAATAATTGTATTTTTAGGATCCAATATATAGCCCATTTATTTTGTCTTTTTTTTTAAATAATTTTTATAGTGTAACATATTTTGGTGTAAAAGATTTTAGGAAAACTTTTCATAAAAGTTTCAAAAAAAAATTTGATTTGATTATTTTTAAAATATTATTTTATGTATTTCATCATTTTATCGAAATTTTTTTTAGATGTCAAAATTTAAATTAAAAAAATCACTTAAGTTTAAAACTGTTTCAAATAGTTTTAAATAGTTTTTCAATAAATCATTTTTGAGATACAACTTTTAAAAAAAACTGTAATTTTGATTACGTTTTGATCTTCAATAATGTATGTTTATATTATAGTATGTTAAAATTTGTCTCTTAAATTATAAAAAATAAATTTTAAAAAATTTATAATATTTTAAAAAACATTTTTATAAAATCTATTCTTTTTTAAATCTATTTTTTAAAACTAAAACAAAGTGACTCATAGTCCTATCTTAAAAAAATGATGCGTCAGTGAAAAAATATGAATATGTGTTTTGAACCTGCAAGTGGATCGTCAAAATATGAAATGAGCAAATTGTGTGGTATATTATTATCATTATTTTTTCCATACTTCCATTATCAATTTTTAAAATCCACTCAAAAAATATATTTCTTTCTTCAATGTTAGGCGCTTTGAACTTTCAGTAGTCTCATGTAGTTAATATAAAAACTTAATTTTTCAATTCCATAGTTGAAGTATGATAATGACATTCTGTGAGGAGTCATGTTTTTTCTAAAAATTGTTGTTTCATTTCAACAAATTTACCCTACAAAAGCGCAGTCAACTCTATTGCTTCTATAATATACATGAATGAATTTATATAAAAACATCTTGTTATAATACATGATAATAAATAGAATGAAATACTCATTCTCAATATAAAGAACATATATTGTTTAGATCTTTTATCAGAGTGTTTATTAAAATAAAACAAAAATACTAAATTATATTTTAAAAAATAGTTTAAAATGAAATTCAAAAAAAAAAGGATAAATGAGATATTTGGTTTATAAAGTCAATACATATAGATATAGTTTGCTAATATATTTTTACTAAATATCATCGTTGTTACATCTAATATTATTTGACTTTCATGCAAAACACTGTTAGATTTAAAAATAAACAGATTTAAATTTTACAAAAACTCTTATTTCCATTTTCCCCCTCACTCTAACCCAAAATACTAGTCTAATCCTCTAAATAGATTTTGACCCATTTTTTATTTATTAAATTTAAAGACAAGTTTAGAGATATAAGTATCTATCTTTATTCTTTTCAATTGGCAATATGAAACTTTATAATCTGTAAAATTTACCCATGACAAGTATGCTACCTGCAAAATAAATTTAGTGCAGATATGGATAACTACTTGCGGAAATTTAAGCATGTGTCCATGTATGAGTATTAGTGTTTTTGTTACGGTTTTCATTCCATGGTTTAACTGGTTATCGAAATCACGAGACAACAACCAACCGTTAGATTGAGCCGGTAAAGAAGCAGTGGAGTTCATAAAAGGCTTTTACTCATTTTCAGCATATACCTCTGCACTATGTTTTCTATACAAACAACTAGCCAACACAACAACTCATTTCGTTCATCTTTCATATTTGCCTTCATTTACAAGTAATGTTTAGTTTTCACCGAATCCCAACATTAGGTCTCTTTTTCTGCAGTGTAGCTGACATGTTGCGGAGTCTATTTTTAACTTCTGTGAAGGTTGGCCTGGCTTCAGGATCAGGGCTCCAACATTCTTCCATCAACTTTTTCCACTCAGAATCACAGCGTTTTGGAATAGATGGCCTCAGTGTATTATTGACAATACCTCCTTCAACAAATAATTAGCAGTAAACAAACTTATCATTAGAATTCAAACAAAACTTTTGTTTTGCGAAAAATATACCAAGGTTCAGAGGTTCAGAGATGATGCAGTATGGCTATTGATTATTTGCAACACATAGATATACACAAGTAGCATTACTTATAGGTATATAACTGCGAGTTGAGATTCTCTTCATTTTTCACAAGTAGAAGACTTCATTTATGATGGTGCCAGACACAAGTGCAAAACATACCTATGATAGCACCACAGTGCATGTTAGCATAAGGTTCTTCCCCAGTCAAAATTTCCCACATTGTGATGCCAAATGAGAAAATATCGACCTAAAAATGACAAAATAGACAGCTCAATAATACGATCTCCAGGAAAGTAACTTGCTTAATCCACTAGAAAGTGCATGGTCAAAATTGAAAAGACCATAGAGAGACAGATGAAGTTCCTAACCTTCTCAGATACTCTAATGCTGTTACCATCCAGTAGTTCCGGTGCCATCCATGGAAGAGTCCCTCTGACACCACCAGAAACAAATGTGTTGCGTTTAATTCTCGATAGGCCAAAATCTCCAACCTATTAATCATATTTTAGGGAAAGAGATCAGTCTTTGTTTAATCAAAGTTGTTGCTAAAGAAAAATAAAATAAAATATATCTTGATGGTATTGGAGCAGGATAACAACTGGGGTTAATTTTTATCAAAAGATGGGAAATATTTTTAAATAATTAAATGAAGAAAAAAAATTATTAAAATAATTGTGTATTTTTCTTTTTATTTAACATGACATCAAATGTTTACGAGCACAACTTTTTTAAAGGCTCGTAAGTCAGAAGAAGAATAAACTTGTTTCCGCTTCAAAATACCTTACATACAGGCCGCTCAGGATCACCCAAGTTGACAAGCAAATTATCACACTTCAAATCAAAATGAACAATACTTTTTAAATGCAAATATTCCATGCCAAAGGCTGCATCCATTGCAATCATTATCCTTTTACGACGGTCAAGCACTCTGCAAGTATACTTTAGTAAGAGTAATAAATTCAAAATAATTACCGGGTTGCAGCCTATACATGTGAGAGTTTGCTTACCTCTCCTTCTTCAAGAGAACATTTCTCAGTGATCCGTGCACCATGTATTCTGTTACAGTTGACAATGTTCCACCTGGACCATCTGGAACTACCCCATAAAATGCCACCACATTTGGATGGTGAAGAGTTGATAGAATCTTTGCCTCCCTCCAAAAATCTTTAGTCTAGAGAAACAGACGCAATAAGCATATAACTATGGAACATCATAAAAAAAAGGATAACTGAATTTATGTTAATGGTCGGTAAATATGAGATCTTCCAAGTCAATGAAATTCACTCCGTCATTCATTCACCACAGAAGCACTTTTCCATGCATATTAAAAGTAGTTTTATACCGTAAGTTTGAAAGGAAAACTAAATAAAGAACACTAGCAAATTCATTCATCACAGAAGCATTTTCCCATCCATAACTATTTACTAGTAATTTTATAAAATATAAGTTTGAAAGGAAAACTAAATAAAGGACAATAGCAAATTCATTTTGTTATTTATACTCTATGGAGACTTACCAACCGCTCTTGCTCTGACATTCTACCAGCGAAACAGCTACTTTTTATTCTCTTAATTGCAACATCTGTTCCTCTCCATTTGCCATGATAAACGGTTCCAAAGGTTCCAGATCCTAACTCATGTAGTTCTTCAAGATCACCATTCTCAATAATCTGTATTTTAACACATGAAGCATTTGGGTTAAATATGGATACTTGTGGATTTTGATCTGCTTCCTTTTAGTCTTCCTACTAAAACAACTTAAAAGGATGGAAAAGCAAAAAAATTAAAATAAGAAGCCAAAAACTAGATGGGAGATTAGATCTCAGGTGGAGCTAATCCTACCAGAATTTGCTCATTAATGAAGACTGACATTTGTCTTCATATGATTAACAACAACATAATTATAATAATACAGGCGTTACTTTCAGAACAATAACTTTGAAGTATCTCTTTACATGTAAGCCTCGTATTTTCTAATAATGCAGGTGTTATTAGAAATCTCATGTTTCATACTAGTCGACAAAACCAATTAACGAAAAATGGAGATAAGTAAATAAGTGGTTTTAATCAACCAAATAATACCTAATGAAATTGAGGGTTCATGATAATATTGAAGATGAAAATGGGAATATGCTTCAATATACCAAAATGTAGTGTTTTGTACCTGTAAACCATAAAGTTCCGACTCTGTTTCAGCAGTCTCTGAATTACCAATAGGCTTATTCAAGTTTTCATTATCGGCTTTTCCAAGCTATCATTGTAGACAATAACCTCAAGTCAGTTATATAAATCAGTTATCATATATGAAACACTGACACAACAGTTTCATTTCATCTTTAGATTCTCACCTTACTTTCAGATTCTGGATTAACACACACTACCCCTGATTTTTCAGAATATGTATGTTTGCCCTCTTCATCTGTATTTGAGACAACTTGTAAGCATGACTGGATACTTGAAGAAATATAATCAATTGATTCTTTGACAACTGTTGCTGATTCTGCTTTGTTGATGCAAAATTCATCAATGTATTCATACGATTGTTTCTTAGTGACTATGCTTTCTTCCTTTCGGTTCTGGTAGTATGCAGGATTGCCGTCAGGGTCAAGAACCTCTCTTAGTGAAGAAGAAACCACATCTGGATACTGAATTACAAACGAAAATGCTGTTATTCTTACATGCAAGCATGGAGTTGATTCGATAAATCAAAGGTTATATTATATACTTACCGAGATAGGTAGCACGGATTCTGTGTCGGTTTGGGAGTCAATAGGACGTATCTCAAAAAAGCCAGGGGTAGGTGGTTGACTGTCTTTTGTTTCTGACACAGCATATTGGTAATGCATTGGTGAACTTTGGCTTCTCATAGAAAACTCAGAAGCAATTGTGTCAAACGGTATACCATTTGGTTGCTCTGTCATGCATCTAGCCAACTCTGACGACATAAGTGGTGCAGCAGAATCACTGCATTCACTGCTTTGTAAATCTGGTGAAGACGAGCAAGCACCATGTTGATAGTAGATGTACTGTAACTGTTGTGGCACAGCTCCAACTTTTTCAACAAAGCAATCAGTGCTTTTACCTACACATTGTACGTTCTCTTTACCAATTTCTGACAATCGCTTGCAACTATCAGTCATTCCAAAAGTCGGCCAGTTTTGATGTAAAACTGTACGTTCTTTCCCATCACATATCTCTTCTAGCTGCATTGAACATTCTTCCAAAGAGCTTGAAGTTCCCAGCGACGACAATTTGTCTCTCTCAACATTAAGCAGAAATTGCAGGTGATCTTTGTAGTTCTCACTATTCTCCAGAAGCGTTGAGTCAGAGAGTGCATGCAACATTCTGTACTGAGAAACATCCTTATCATCAGACATTGAGAATACACTCGATGACTGATGTGTATGAGAGACAATCTTGTTAAAATGGTATGAACCTTCTTTGTTTACTAAAGGCCTCTCAAATTTCGTATCTGTCTGATTAAAAATTGCAGAAGAAACAAATTCTTTACTATTGTTTCTTCTGTGAAAATGGAAATTAGCGTTAGACTTCCTGATTTGGTCAGACTCCAATGGATATTGATTACTAGGATGGTGGTTCATACATGGAGGCCCTTGGGGATGATTGTTATAATATGCAATGGGATCAACATAACTGGTACTGTCTACATACAAAGAGTTGTCGCGTGGAATTTTTTCCATGACATAGGGAATAATGTTTTCATTAACAACATTATATGGTTGATCCGTAAATAACTGGACATTAGAAATATTTGGATCTTTAGGCTGTGCACAAATGGGAGATGGAGGCATTTGATCAAACGACTTGCCCGCTACCTTCATTGATGTTACAAATAGACTTTGTTTTGACATTGTTCCTGCCAAATTTGAAGAGGTTGGGCTGCAATCAATAAAATCTGAAGCAAATGCATATGTGGATGATTCCCTATGGAAATGTGGACTGTTGTAATCAGAGGCAGTTGTAAACTGGCTAGCATGGCCTGCCAGATTCAGTCCACTAAGATTCTTTCGCGGACATGGATCTAGTATACCATTAACAGCAACAACATAATGATAATCAGCATCACTTTGCTGATTGACTCTTGGTTCATTAGAACTTGGACTCTCTGATTCATTTGAAGCTATGAGAAAAATCCTCAGTCGTTGCGAGCCTCCGCCTCTTTCAAGCTCCTCATACTCCTCAATCATATGATGAAGATCCTCATCAGAACAAACAGAAATAAGAGCATCAAGATCCTCTCCAGGAAGCTGGTATTTGATAATGTGAGTTTGATTGCAAATATCAGAAGTCTTCCTTGTAAGTTCCTCATGTGTGATGTTTTTCCTAATCGATATAATCCGCGTCTCTCCCCCTGCATATCTGAGCTTCCCATCATTTGGCCTTGGTAGTATTCGACCTCCAAAACTACATAAAAACTTTATCTTTTGGTAGAAGGAACCTTCTGAGACTACTGTTCCATAAGGTTGGCATGAACGAGGAGTATTTGATGCCAAGGCAACTTGATCGCATCCGTCAGAAAATCCAATTGATAATTGTCTAGAAAATGCACTCGATGCTTGTCTGGTACCACCATGTTCACACTGGTATCTGGTCAAATTATTATGACATGCCCTGTTGTCAACTTCAGCAACATAGCCTCTAGCAAAAGCAATATCTAACAAATCCAAATTGCTATCAGAATCCATTCTCCCTAGCCCAACGACGTGTTTTTGATCCTCGTAGACCGGTTTACTATTATTAACATTGAAGTCCATTCTGTTTGGCATGTGCTGCTCTGCATCAGTTATGACAGGAAACCTTCTTAAACCGACCCGGTCGCGTAAGAACTCGGCAGAAAATTCTTCACCGGTCTGTAAACATATATTGTCTTTATTATCTTTATCAGAAGGTATTCTGTCACTAAACCCAACAATCACTGTACCTCTATATTGATTTCCTGAAATTCCAGGATCCTCATTATTCATGGTGGAAGATTATACAGTTATCTCAACCTAACAACCTTTTGCAATAGACTGTAAAAGTATTCTCAATGCCTATCCACATTTTACACTTAACTCTAATTTTTATCACAGCAACTTACAACACAAAAAAAAAACCGTCAAACCAACATTGTACAATTCAGTATTTCGCATATGTCATCTGTGCCGGTCTCAATTGGTATATCCTGAAGGTGACATAATAACCAAATCCCTCTGTAAACAAAACTCGAAATTGCGGAGAAACTTGAAAATTATGTTTACCCTTCATTATAAAAAATGGAGAACCAAGGAATTCTACATAATCAGTCCATTAAAAACCATAATCTGAAACACGAAGGCTCGTCGTTGTCATTGATATCAACATGATCGTTGTCCGGAAAATGAAGTTGCACTCAACCCTAGCTCCATAAACGGGCTTGAGAATTTAAACCCTACAAGAATACCGACATTGATCAAAACAATATAAATTGAGATAATGTAGAACCCGTTTAATTTCAAATTGAATCGGAAGAAACAAGGGTGTAATTGCAAAAAGTACCTGATTGTGTATCCATGAACAGGAGGTGGGGGTTAGATTGAGAGGGGAATGGTGTGGTGTTGGGAATGCAAGGTTTTGGGGTAGGGTTGGACGAACCCAAGGGGGAAAATGGGGTTGAAGGTTTGATTTTGTTGGGAATTGGGAGAGAGAAAGAGAGGTTTGTTTGAGAGGAGATCGTTGAGAGAGAGAGAGGTGAAAATGTTCCATGAGGATCGGAGGTTACAACGGAGATACGTTGGAGAAGAATATTTGCTTAAATTGGCGCGGAATGGATTTGGACTGTTGAGAAAAACAAGGGGATATTCTTCTCTTCTATATGTGTACACATCATGTTTTTTTAAATGTGGGAAATTGTCTTTTATTGCCGTTTTTAAATTGTATAAAAACAAAAAAAAATATAATATTTATCCGTAACTTTTAAATGGTTAAATATTTTCTTTTGTTCATTATCTTATTCATTATTATTTTATTCCCGTCAATATTGTCAAGCACGAAGAATTGAATAAAAATTATGTATCATTAATGATATTTATTGTTTTATTATTATTAGTTAGTTTGATTCATTAGTAGAGGTTTTTGAATAATCATGATTTTTATAATCATTGTTGTTGAATATATATATATATATATATATATATATATATAAAATGTATTAAATTTTGATTATGTTCTTTTGAATTTTAGATATAATCATGTCAGATATTAAGCATCCCTTCAAAATTTTAAGCATAACTGGGAACAACTACATAACATGGAATAACAATTTAATAGAGTACCTTGCATGGGAGGGACTCGATAAAATTCTTGAAGGAAAAAATTCAGGAAAGTCAGTTGTTGACCCAGTAGAGATGGCAATGAAAAATCAAAAGTAAGTCAAATAATCAAACACCACATTGACAATGATTTACAAACATAATATTCAAATGCAAAATATCCCAAGATTTTGCGGGACAAACTTAAGGCATGATTTGGACATTAGAGGAAAGTCTTGTTGCACTCATTAATTGATCAGGAGAACAAATTAAGGTTCCAAGATTATAAAAGTGTTGTTGCATATAACTTTGTTATGCACCAAAATATAGCACAACTAGAATTTTATGGCATAGTTATAACCGAAGAAGAAAAATTAGAAAAAACATTTTCAACTTTTCATGCATCCCAAGTTTTGTTGCAACAACAGTACAGAATGAGAGAATTTTTTTAGTGTTCTGATTTAGTTGCAACCCTTATAGTAGCATAACAAAATAATTAACTTCTTACCAAAAACCACCAGTCACATCTCACAGGGACAATAACATATCCATAGATAAATGTCACAACATTTAATCAAAAACGTGGTGGCTATAATCGTAATAAAAATTGTGGAGGTTATGCTCGTTTTGAGGGTCCTAGTTAAGGCAGATATTACAGTCGAAATCACTTTCGTGGTTGAGGTCGTGGACGAAGTTATGTGAATAATTATATATTTCTTATATATGACAAAACTAACAAGTATCGTCAAGGTAGGAGTACTTATATCCAAGAGGGTCCATCGAGGAATCATGATGATTTGTGTTATGGATGCGGAAAGAAAGGTCGTTGGTCTAAGACGTGTAGAACACCAAAATATTTATATAAAAGAAATAAGGCAACTATAGAGGAAAAGGGGAAGAAAGTAAATTTTAATGAAATTAAACCCGAAAGTGATACTACATGTCTCGAGGTTGTTGATTTCGTTAAAGGAACAATAGATTGAGTAGTTTTTGTATAGTGTGTGATGAACTTGTATTAATTTTATATTTGAACTATGTACAAACTTAAGTATTTGTATGTTGTGTTTGCATGAAATAATAATGTTAAATACGTTGTATTAATTTATTCTCTATTTAATCTTATTTCTATTTCAAGAATGTTAGATATGGAACATGTTGAAGACATTTGCATTTTAGATAGTGGAACTACCCACACAATCCTCAAATGTAAGAAATATTTTACTAAAATAAATCATAATAAAGGTGTAATAAATACAAACTCAGGTCCTGCATATTTGATTGAAGGAACGAGTAATGTTATGTTCATATTACCAAATGGAACAGAGTTTTCATTAATAATGATAAAATTTATTTCGAAATCAAGCGAAGGTCGTAATCTTCCTGGTGGTTTAGTCCGTGCTGATAATTGTGGTGCGTTAGTTTCTCGCTTTCAAACATTTTTGTGTTCGACCCTTTCAATCATTTTTTATGTCGTTTGTTAATTTAAGTTTAATTTATTTGTTTAGAAATTAGCATAGTTTTTTTAATTAGACTTAGAATTTAGTTAGTTTAGAATAGAATTATTAGTTAAATAGATTTAATTAGGAATATAATTTATTTGTTTAAAAATGACTTAGAATTTTATTTTATTAGAATTTGAATTAATTAATTAATTTAAAAAATAGAATTAAATTAGATTAGAATTTCAATTATAATTAATTAAGAAATTAGAATTAAGATTTTAATTTATTAAATAGAATTAATATAGAATTAGATTACTAATTTCAAAATAGATTTAGAATATAATTTTTCATTAGAATAGATTTTATATTTTAGAATTAATTAATCCATAAAATTAAAAGAAAAAGAAAATAAAAGTTAAGGAAACACGGATGAGAGGGGATATAAAATCTGACCCAGTATACTGTTCATCATCTTCTCAATTCGAAAATAACCTAGTCGCCACGACCTATACGACCCGTCGTTTCCTCACCATCATAATAAACCTCAAAACGCAAACCATTTTCATCTTCTACACATTACCCTAGCCTCAAACCCTCACCTATCCTCCTTCCTCTCTCCCACACTGCAAAATCGCTCTCCAAACGTCCATCTTCCTCGTCTATTTTTCGGACCCCCCTCAACAACAACCTTCTGAAACCAATCCACCCCTTGATTCGAACTTCTTTAGACCATAAACCCTTCATTAATCCACCACACCCCACCGCAAATCAACACAGTAACCACCACAAATCCTCATACAAAACGCGTCTTCAACCTCGCAATCTTCTGTATCTCCTCCTTCACCCACTCAAACCGTGTAGCTCTCCTCTCCAATCTTCAATCCACTCAACTCACCCCAAATACAAGCTTCAACCCCAAAACCTTTCTTTTTCACCATAGCCTGAAACGAGATGAAAGCGGAAAAAGAAAAAAGGGGAAAAAATCTTACAGATCTCTGTGACTCAAAATCTTCCATTAAAAAGCTCACCCCAACCTAATTTCAACGCACATAACCCACAAATCAACCCAGAAGCAAAGTAGAAATAGGAAAAGATTGAAAATGAGAGACCGGAGAAGGTGAATCAAGAGAGGAAGGTTGAACGTCGTTGTCGTCAACCTTGTTAATCGCTTCATTTATTTTTTCTCTGTTTTTTTTCTTTATCATCAACGATACGATGATGATGTGGATATTCTGAAATTAATCTAATTTGTGGCACTATAACTTGCCGTGTCTCCTTTTAATAAAGAACTGGATGTGTTTTTTCTGGTTTTTTTGGAACTTAAAAGAGGATAATGGGCTGAAAGGCCCACATGAGGTCCCCTCCTAGTCACCACCCTAATTCATTTATTACACCCCTTTCTCCATGACTTTTTGTTTTCTTTAATAAAATTAATTTGTAGAGTTTTCATAAATTTTCTTTTTAATTAAGTTTCTAAAGTTCTATAATGCTTTTTTTAATAAAATTAATTTTTAGACTTTTATAAATTAGTTTTTTAGATATATTTTATATTTTTTTTAACCAAATTTTTTAGAAGTTTTATATATTTTTCTAATTTAAGTTTTTAAAAGTTTAATATTTGTTTAGAACTTTATAATATTTTTCTAAGTAGGTTTTTAATGTTTTATAATATTTTTTCTTAATTAGTTTTTTAGACTGGTAAATATATTTTCTAAATAAACTTTTTTTTAGAATTTTTAATATTCCTTTGTTCTAATTAGCTTTTTTTAGATTTCTAAACTTCTTTTTGATTTAGTTTTTGAGAATTGTTAATATATTTTCTAAATTAGTAAATTTTTAGAATTTTAAAATATTTTTCTAAAATTAATTTTTAGAGCTTTTGAACATATTTTTCTAAAGTTATATTTTAGTATTTTTATTTATGTTTGAGTTTTTAGTTTCGTATTATTTCGTTAAGGTCGATGACGAGACCTCCGAAAATCGTTATTAGTCAAACTATTGATAAATAATGATGGATCCGAGACCACCCACTTCTTTCTCTCCTCATTTCTTCTTTATTTTCGATTTTATTCAATTTTCCTCGATTTATGAAGTCTTTTATTCGTAAGCGTCGATTTATCAAAGTCGATAACCTTCTCGATTTCAAATCTACGGAAAATGACCATTTGGGTCATTTTCTTTACTTTGGGATCGTGATAGGCTACCTTCGATTAATCAACATAATGTTTGCGATTAAGACGAGATCCCACCTTT